CCCGGCTACACCGCGCGTCACCACGGCGGCTTAGACCTTCCCTATCAGTTCCTTCCAACATTCCATTATTCCCACCAGCCATTTTAGGTTTTCCCACCCTCCAGAAGGGACACTCTCCTCCACGTGCTCCTCCTAGAATTCTCTCCTGAGGCTCTGCGCCCACCACCTTCTTTGATCACTTGAGTCAGACATCTCTCCTACTGGGCGTAAACTCCTTGAGGGCAGGGATGCTGGAAGGCTCTCTCCAGGGGTGCTTAGTCAATGTCCGCTGGCTGCAAAAACAAAGGACGCTCCCAGGACAGGGGCGGCCACAGAAACCTGCAACCCCCTAAATAGCAGGCAGTCAAGTCAACAAGAGCAAGGAGTTCTGGGTGTGCTCACTTACAATCCACCAGCACCGCAGCCGAGCTCAGGCAAGTCCTACCCAATGGGAAACCTTACACCAGCAAATCCCAGAAGCAGCCCGAGTCACCGCCTGGGTCTGCGGTCCCTGCATCCACCTCCCAGGGCCAGGAAATCACATCTTCAGTGAGAGCAAGGAGTGGCACGGAGACAGCAGGCCGATCCCCAGAGCGGAGGGTGGGGAGGGAGCGCACCCAGGACACAGCGGGGCTCGCACTGCTGCCCTGCTCACTGTCACAATGCTACACCCACGGTCCCGTCCCAGAAGGAGCAGCTTTGTAAAGCATCCCCGGTGGTCATGCCTCCCACCCAGCTTTGTCTTTTCCCCCAAGCCCACCTCTGGGAACGCAGGGTGTGGCCAGATCTACCCTCATTAGTTAATGAGTTAGGCTGTTTGTTAATTTAAACTTATCGTTATCATCAGGTAGATCTCATAAACACTTGATTAGTTAACGCATTCAAATCGAAATAAAAACTTCAATGAAACTGAACATTCACTACTACCATTTAGGGTCTTAAGAAAGGGGAAAAAAACGAGAAAGAGAGAGAGAGACAGAGAGAGGGAGAGAAGTTCTCCAAGAGCCTCCTACAGGGCAAACTTCTAATTAAACAAATTGTCGATTTCAACACAATGAAAACTGATTTAGGAGTGTAAATTTAGTATTCTAGTCACTGAAAATAAAACCTCATGTTGTCGGTCTCCTACAGGCTGATTTCCGCAGATAGGGAAATGCAGAGGAGAGGAAGACAACGTGAGGAAGGGGGAAGAGCCGAGAAGGAAGGGCAAGCAAGAGCGTTGAATTCTTTCATAAATAACATCTCCGCAGAATTCCGTGTGGCCTGCTCGCAAGCATCGGAGAAGCTTTTGTCTTGCGTCCTCCTTCGCCCCACCCCTACCAGATTAGAAAAAAAAAAATTAATCGTGGATGATGACAAACTTGGCTCGGCACTCACTGTACACACTGTACCCACAAGGCTGGCTCACAGCCAGGCCTGGCCCGCTGCCAGAACGACAATAACAAACACAGGCCACGCTAGCCAAGAGGGGGTGGGGGCAGCGAGCGCGCCCAGCAAGGAAGTGAGCGAGGAGCACCGTTCGGCTCGGCTGAGCACAAGAAAACAGCAGGAATGTGCCTGGTCCGAGGGCAGCGACCACATTTAGGGCAAGGCGGGGGCACGGGACCCGCACCTGGATCCCAGACTGGCTTCTCGGTGGCCTGCCCCTCGGAATGGTCCCCAATGCCTGGGAGCATCTATTGTTCTGCTAGGCTCTGCAGTATGGCTCCAGCCCTCGGGGATGGTCCGTAAAGTGGGTCTGCACTGCAAACCCTCAGGGGCCGTGCTCGCTGTCGGCTCCCCACAGGGAGCCTGCAAAACCAGGCGGCAAGAAAAATCTCGAGTCCTCTAAGCAAGGTCTCCTCTAGACCATCCCAGGGTTTTGTGATCGTGCAACGGGGAGAGGAATCAGAACGTGCAAAACCCGGCCGGGGCCCCTGGGAGCCAACAGGAGGCCTGGCACCACCGGCCCAGCCCTCCACACCCCTCCTCTGGGGCCTTCACTGCTTCACGGGGGGTGTGAACGATTCAGGAAGTGGTCTAGCCTCTCTCAGCCCTTGTTATTTATTTTCAAGACCTCCTGGCACTGGGGGGGGCAGGGGGGGAGGTATGCGGGACAACGGACAGGAGCAGCAGAGAAGTATCTAAGCCGGCCAGGCGCTATCTGCAAAGGTGAATGAAAGCACTACTTTGACCCTTACCCTGCCCCCCGACCAGATCCTTTTCCAAGGGCACTGGCAAGCGCGTTTCAGAGAAGTCCTTCGGCACAGACTGCGGTGTGGAGGAAGATGGGAAGGGAGAAGAAAGCCTGGGAAGACAGGACCCAGCTCCCAAAGCTGCCAGGACATCTGCCACCCAAAGTGGCATCTCAGGGAGGACAGGAGAGCCCACCTCTAGGCAGCGGCTGGCCCGGGAGGGGGTGGTGCAAAGCCACTCGTTGTGTCTGAACTGGGAGCTCCGGGCCCAGCAGCAAGTGCACGATCAGTGCCTGTCCTCTCTGCCGCTCCCACTGGAGCCACCAGCACGGAAGAGACTAGCTCGCCCGCATTCAGCTAATACGGGCCGGTGGGCTCCTGGCTGCCCCCCCGGTGAACCCCTGGGTCACAGTCTAAACCACTGCTTTGTAGGACGGACCCAGAACCTGGAGTTTCCCTGACATACTCTTCGGCCTCCCAGGCCGCACTCTTGCATCCGTCCAGCGTCTACTGACTCCAGTAACGTGCCAGCCAATGTCTGCACATCATGGGGACACCTCGTCCCCAGTAGCTCACAGCCCAGCGGAAGACCTAAGGGAGAGGGAAACTGTATTTATGGAGAGCCTATCCCGGGTCAGACCTAGTGCTAAGGGTCTGATGTGAGCCTCCCAATTTCTCCAAGGCAGGGTCAAGTGCTCTCATCTCACAGTTGAGGATACAGAGGCTCCAATACCTCACATTTCTTGCCCACGATCACATGGGTAGGAGGTAGGTTTCCAAATTTCTGTCTCGAACTCCCAAGGAGGGGGGATAAGGCAAGTCCATAAATGACCACAGCACAAAGAAGGAAGGCTGTGCCCAGAGAGCTTCAGATGAAGGAATGCAGGCATCCAGAAGAAGGCAGGACTGCTCCTGGCTGAAGGTGGGGAAGCGTGGGGGACGGCATTGCGTAAGGGACCTCAGAAGATCTGGCAAGGCCAGGGAAGGGTTATTCCAAGCACAGGGAACAGGGTGAACAAAGCTGCAGGGCTCGGAGAGCAAGCTGTGTCAGTGCGCACAGAGAGCAAACCACAACTAGCCGGCTCTGGCTAGCGCGCCGGACTCAAGGAAGGGTAGGGAGGAAGGATGCTCGCTGGGCCAAGTTCCGGAGTGGGCGAGGAAGCTGTAACCACAGGCTGAAGCGTGTATCGCCCGCGTGCAAGTGTCCAGCACCGCGCTGTTGGGAGACCACACAGGGGCCCGCGGCGGGGAGCACATAAAACAGAAGACCCACACTCTGCACTTGGGGGGTGGCCAAGCCGGTTGGCAGACGGCTTTGAAACTCCACACTGAACCCTAAACAACCTACTCAACTGAAGGGAGGCAAAAAGATACAAGGTGCAATTTACAAAGCAGAACAAAAAGGGCCCACGAGTGCCGAGCAGCTGCTAGACACACGGGTATGTGGGCTCCGGATTCCAGGCCAAGGTGTGGGGGGGTGGGCAGGGCGAGGATGGTTCCGTGCAGCAAGGGGTGAGGGTGGGCGAGCCCACAGGGAGAAGAACGGCGCACACACAGATGTGCGGACGGAGGGCGCATGCTGAGATAGACATGCTGGATCTAGAAGGGAGAAGAATGGAAAGCAAGAAGGGGTTGGGGCACTTTAGGAGGGGACTTCAGGGCCAGGGAGATAACATCCCATGGGCACCGAGCCGCGCGGGCTCTGCAGAGACTGTGGCGAGTTGAGGCATAAAAAGCACCAAGTAGCATTTATATGACCACCCGGGCCATGGGAGGACAGACTGCAAACCGCCAGCCAGACCAGGAGCTTCTGGGGTAAGGTGATGGGAACACGCTTCAGGGGCGAAGTGGGAAAAAGGACGGGGCCATGGAAAATTGGCATTTACCACACACCACGTACGTGCCAGGGCACCTACTACAGATGCCTTCAACCTACACTCTGTCCCACAATTCCTTAAGACAACAATACGACTTAGGCAACACCTGCACTTTACAGATGCAGAAAACAGGGGTCAGAAGACAGAACTGCCCCAGGTCACATGGCACACCGTATAGACGAGGTCTGAACATCTGCCTAACTGTAAAGCCCATGCTCATGTCACAAATGCTGCAGGGCTGGGTGCTGGGCTCAATGTGGGACAAGGAGAGCCGACGTCCACACTTGCACTTGACAGTAAGAAGGTGGCCTCACCTCTCCCCCAAAATGTGACCCTAAGGTTGGAAGGCAAGGAAGAGAGCACTGGCCCTGGCGGGGAAGTCCGGAGGCCTCTGCAACGGAACCCGGGCACCCCCCCTCCCACCCTGGCCTCAAAGCAACACCATCAGACCTGGTATATCCTTCCCTCCACCAAGCAGAGCCAGGAACGCTGCACAGCAGCCACCAGTCCGTTTCCATGCTTCAGGGGACAGAGTAGCTTTGCCCTAAACACGGGTAAAACCCCCCACAGCCACAGAGCCAGCCCTGCTAGAACTGGGTAAAATTAACGTGCAAAAGACAGCACGATGCAAGCAGCACTATGTTCCTAATCCGTTCAACGAAAGGCTCCCGCGGAACGTGGACCCAACGGTCAGGAGAACCGAACGCCACAACTGTTGTGCTAATCGGACTGTTGTGTGACTTTGGAAGGGAGAACACACACACAACACGCCCTAGGAAACCCGAGAGAGCACGGGTTCGTGCGGACGGTCACTGTGTCAGGACGGACCCTCTGCTCCCTGAACCCGGACACGGTGGACCACAGGCTCCGGCTGGCAGTGGGGACATCCGTGCTCTAAGTGGAGGGTGAAGGCAGACAGCGGGGGCAGTAGCCTGTGTTTGAACGGGCCGATCAGGGCAGCGTCGCCTACCTGAATGAGCCAGTAAGTGCATTCTTAGTCGCAAACTATCCAGGAACCGCTTTCCGCAGAGTTCACACCCGTACGTCTTCATCCCACTGTGCAGCTTCCTGTAGGGAAAGGAAAACATAGGTTGTGGCTGCTCTGGCTGGACAGAAGGAGGCCCACGCTCACCTGGGGGCTCTGCGGACACCCCTCCAGGAGGTGAGCAGCAGGGAGAGGAGATGGAAGGCACGGGTGCTACAGATGGGCACTGATGGAGATATCCCTGTGCTCAGACGGCCTCACACGCGCCCCTCTTCCCAGGGACCACTGCCGAGGAAGAAATCTATTCCTGATCTTGTCCGAGAGCTAGAGAACAGGGCACTTCTACTGCTTTACCCACCAGCATACAGACCAAGGGGGAAAAATCAGATCCAATTTCAGGGTGAGAAGGAAGAAGCACGGACAGCCGGTCAGACACAATGCTCACTGTTGGACCAGCACTGGGCTCCCTGGGAGGCCCCCGGGCCTCTGCTCACCTCGATCATGTCAGCCCCCCACAGCGCTGCAGTTGTGCACGTGCCGGGCTCCCCCACGACACCGTGAGCTCAGGAGGGGTGCATCTGTACCCTTTCTCTCCCCCACCCCCGCTCCCGCTACGGCGACTGGCCCATAGTGGGCTCTGAATAAGCTTATTCACGAGTTGATGGCTTCATGGACACAGTAAAGCTACCTCTCTCTTGGGGCATCTGGCTGTTCTCAGAACTACGTGTACAGGCCTTGAATGTGCATGTCCTTCCCCTACGGCCCAGCTTAGAAGATGCCTTCCCTCTCTCTCTTTTGGCCAGAGGCTGAGCCCCAACAGAAAGAGTTCAAGAAACCAGGTCATCCTACAAATGTAGAATGGTGCAGAGAGGAATGGCCATTTGGGTTTTCCAGGTGCATTCACACATCTCACCTCATTTTACCAACATTGCCATTCTGTGAGTCGGTCTGACACAAAGGATCACCCCCGAGAAGACAGAGGTCCCGGTAACAACCGGACAGAGGCCCGACCTGCAACAGAGCCCCGATCCCAACCTGGACCTTTCTCCCGAGCCCCCTCTGCCTCTGTCAGAGGCCAGCAGTGGAGCAGGGTAAGATGCAGGGGGGCGAGCATGCTAGCAAAGAGCTGAGCGCAGGGAGGAAGGTCTATGTGCCGCAGGCCGGCGAGGATCCGAGCTGTTGGCTGGTGTGCGGGCCATCTGGCCCGAACATTGACTTTCTTCCCACCCACACTCCTGTTCTCAGGCCCTTACTTGCTGCTGCCAGATCTGGGATCCACCTCCACCCCTATCTCTGAGCCTTCATGCCCTACGGAACAGAGCAGGGAATGGCAGCCAGAGGCAGGAGCTGATGGCGGTGGGGCAGAGAGTAGAGCATACAGGTCTCTTAGGGCCAACAACCTATTGCATCAGATGTGATGGGCTGGCATCACAATAAAAGCTGTGATCAAAGTGGCACAGTAAAAAAGTGCCACCAGTACTGCTGGTACTGATGCTCCCAAAACCGTAGGCGCGGAGGGGAAGTATCACACACCCAAGTCAGTAGCACCCAGATCGGAGCCTCAGAGCCTAGATCACGATCAGTAAACTGAGCCACCCACTGCCACCACCTTCCAAATCCCATAACGAGAACTCAGTGGTTAAGGTCAAAACCACACAGGCCCCCAGGTGAGCCCCCCGAGTGCCACAGCCTACGGGCCACAGTGGCTTGAAGACGGCATGTGTGTCCACACGCCCAGTCCCCTTCAGAGAACTCTTTCTCAATCATGCTGTTTTGTTTGCTCGCTTTCCCTTTACTCCCTTGCCAAGAGCAACAAACAATTTCTCAATCACACGCACGCACACACGCACACACACACACACACACACCCTCATCCCTGATACTGTAGTGCGCCCCACCCCCATATTATTTTACTCCTGGCCATGCCGATCCACCCCAATTGAGAAATAGTAACAGTACAGAACATTTTAACTGAACATTCTTAACTCCAAATAGATTTCACAATGCCGGACACTGGGACATGTCCTGAGGGTATTCTGGGCCAACCATGTTTTTAAACATGTGCCCAGGCAGCTGAGCGTGTATGTGTGCATGTACACACATGACAGACAGTATTCCTGTCACTCACCCAGGCATGGCAAATGTCTGCTTTTCTAAGAGGTGTTCTGTGGAGCTGCAAAAGCCCCATTCACAAATGGGTCAGTCAGTGAACCTCTTGCACACGTTCGTGGTCATGTGTGATGGAGGGCAGGGCGTGGGTTTCCATCTCATTTATTTCCATCTTTGTCTTCACTCGTGATTTCTCACCTTCCAGGAGGGCCCGCCCACCTCTCAGGGGGCGCTAACCAGAGGGCCAGCACCCATTTAGATACGTTTCCCAAAAGGACACTGGCGTGACCAGTCTTCCGGTATTAGCAGCCGCCATCAGAGTAAGCATCCCGACCCACCTCTTCTTCCTACACGTTCCAGACCAAACCTCCGACCCCAATGAACACTTCTGGGTAACCCCACTGCCTTATTTCTGAATATGAATGGATTTGCCTGGCAACTGGCGAAAGTGGCTTTCTTGGGCCACTGGATTGGCATGGTGAAAGGTGGTATGCTCTTGCCCTTTACTGAAGAGATAGCAGCAAGGGGTAAGGAAGGACACCAGGCCAGCAGCCAGAAGGCCTGGCTCCTCAGGCTGACTCGGCCATCAACTTGCTTTATGACCTTGGACAAATCATGCTATACCAATCTCTCTGCATTTGTTTCACCTGTGAAATGATGGGGGGACTTCTAAGGCTTTCGTCCCTTATGGAACCAAAGTTTTGTCATTCAAAAATCTTACTCATGGGGCGCCTAGGTGGCTCAATCGGTGAAGGGTCTGACTCTTGATTTTGGCTCAGGTCATGATCTCGTGGTTCATGAGATCAAGCCCCACGTTGGGCTCTGCGTTGACAGTAGAAGCCCGTTTGGGATTTTCTGTGCCCCTCTCCCGCTTGCATGCAAGAGAGCACACACATGTGCACACACTCTCTCAAAATAAATAAACATTATTAAAAAGATCTTACTCCTATCATTTTACCTAGTTTCCAAGGAATTTCCCCAAGGGGCATTATTACTATTCTCTCAACCACACTCTACTGTGTGATGCCCCATGATACCTAGGCAGTCAAGGCTGGGAGGGCCTAAGCAAAAATCAGCCCCCGACTTCCAAATCTACTCATTTTAAGACCATCTAATCCAGATGACCTGAGTTTCTTCCTTTATTCACTTGTGGTCTATTTTTCGGTGAAAGAAACTTCTGGAACCCATCAGCAGCCTTTCTTTGGAAACATTGTGCTGCCACGCATTTCTCGGCCTTCAGAGACACAGATGTCCTACCCTGTCCGATCCTTGGGGTAAGAACACTGCCCTGTACTTGACCCACTAACTCAGTGCCCCACACAGGTTACCCTAGGCGAACGTGGCATCCATGTGATCCACACATAGTACAAGGACAAAGGTCCTGCCCCACTGCCAGAGAGACAAGGGCAAAGCACACAACGTTCAGAAGAGAACAAGGGAGCACTTTACAAGCCTAGGAGTTGAGTGGAGCCCAGCACTGGTTTGCTCCTATCTTTCATTACTGTTCAGAACACCAAGGGAAGGATGTGGAATGGGAAAGGCGAACCCTTCCAACCCACTGAAAAAGGAAATGGCAGAGAAGAATCTGACTGTGTTCAAGAGACTTGGCTACCGACAGACTCTCTGTACCGTCTGCAGAATGACCACGGAGGAAATAGAATTCCAGCTGGCTTCTGAGCACAAGTGCAAATCTGTATGAACCCATAGTCTCTCACTCTGCAGACCACAACCCTCCCCAGCCCCCACCATACTATGCAAGTGATTCTGATGAAAATGGAAATTCTGTCCACCTCCCTCTTCTTCACCACACGTGCATATTTTCCCAGCCTGGTCTTGTCTTTTCACAAGGTCTAACTGCTCACGGCCATCTGAGGTCACCAGCCTCCACCACAGCACAGGAAGGAAGGACAGCTGGGGACATCTTTGAGTCTGCATTGTCCTTCGGTTTCACGGTACCTCCTTGAGAAGCGGCAACACCGCTGAACACGGATTTGAAAGCAACCCAGTTTCAGCATGGCCCCAACACCTCTATTCCATGCTTGCTGGAGGACCCATCTCCCCGTCACGCTTCAGGCCCCCGCCACGCCCTCCCCGGCCCCCCCCAGCGGTAGTGCTGTCCCAGCGCGGCCCACAATTGGCCCACTGGGCAAACCCATCTTGAATGTAACAGATTTTCAATTATGTCCAAAAAGACAACGAAAAAATTAACCTTTGGCAGGTTTCTAGCTGTTTTCTCAAGAGAGCTGAATCATTATGAGAAATTAGAGCTAAGCAAATCTGAATCTTTTAACAAGTAACTAGAGAGAAAGGCCCATTCCTTCTCACTGATTCTCAACCACATAACCCTCGCCACTCAAACCAAGCTAGTGAGGTACATCGAGCCATCTCTGTGCTATTGGAAGCCTGACAAGTCACAGATTTTGTCTGCTTTGGATTATAAGCTACATAACAGTAGAAGCCATATTGATTTTTCCTTTTCTCCAAAGGGTCTAGTTTTATTTTTAATTTTTTTTTAATGTTTTTTTATTTTATATTTGAGAGAGAGACAGAGACAGAGAGTGAGCAGGGGAGGTACAGAGAGATGGACACAGAATCTGAAGCAGGTTCCGGGCTCTGAGCTGTCAGCACAGAGCCTGACGTGGGGCTTGAACTTACAAGCAGTGAGATCATGACCTGGGTTGAAGTCGGATGCTCAACCGACTGCTCAACTCTAGTTTTAGGAGGAGTTTGCTCAATGCTGCTAAAGAAGTTCCTCCATCTAAGATGGGGTCAAGGCATCCCTCCTCTCATCTTTAACAGTATTCCAAGCCCAAGAGCTTCGTGGACACCTCCAACCCAGGGCTGAACTCTCCTGTGGCTCCCAAAGTCCACACAAGGAAGGCCAATGCCTATTTCACAGCCACACAAAGCCTGAGCTTCAGAGCAACCCTTTATTCTCAAGATGAGCCTTCATCTCCCCTGTATACCTAGAACA